GATTATCACAATTTACATTGAATGATGTTTATACCATTGTTTGATGCAACTGCATGCCGTATTTTTATATGAAAATAAACAAGCTGAAAACACTAACTGAAAAACTTTTCAATAGTATTAATAGTATTAAGCCTCAAATGTCAAATATACATCGGATTGGTTTCTTCTTTAAATTATAAAAAATATGAATCCTTAAGATAACATGTAGAAAGAAAAAAACGCATCTTAAGCACATAGAATAACATAAGTGGACTTTGAACGATTAATTGCCGCTTTGAACGATTACTTAATTGTGGCATCCATAACTGTAATCGCGATTAGAAATTCGATTAATTGTGCAGCCCTAGCATTAACCATTGTAAACCTGCATACTATTAACTAAGATTAAATTATTTAAAAATTTAAATGAGTTATACATTGCAGCATACAGTGTAGAATACACAGTACAGTATATTATAGTATACTACAATATATACTGTACTGTCATGTGCATTACAGTATAGTAGTATAGTATATAGTGTAGTATATGCAACTGTCACCTCAGATCAAAAGTCAAAACAATGTGTTACATCGTACAGTGAAGTATATCAGCATACTGCATTATAGAATACTATAGTATACATTACAGTATAAAGTGTAAGCCGTCATATGACACGTGCCATCAATCTTTGCACATGTAACATCTTTAAGGTTATATATGTACATTGCACAATATAGTTTGGTACAGTACAGTACAGTATGCAACTGCTGCAAACTGTGCACAAACTCAAGGCATAGTATATTAATGTACAGAACACATAGTACAGTATAGTACGTGATATAATGATACTCTGATCCTAACAAAAGACATACTTAAGGCTGTCTCAACCAGCTGTTTACATAATCAACGCTAAATTGCACGGTTTATTTAGTAAAGCAACAAAACCTGGCACTGCATGTCGGTCACAATGCATGGAGCCCCCATCAGCCCTGCAAAAACACATGAAATATACACAGCAACTGCTCATTATATAACCAGCCGGGATGAACCGAGTGACATCACGGCGGGATACACTCAATGGCTGCATCTCAAAGCCTAGTAAGGCTGCCTACCTAGACAGCATTACTGGAGTCTGTTCAGAACGCGCCGAACAAATCACACCGCCTTTTAGGAACCATACGATATGGTGCGCTCACTAGGCACTGAAACACAACCAGTGTTTATTAAAACACAGTGACAGTGAAGCGGAGACAAAAGTGTTGTAGCCTATTTGTACGTGCTATTCTCAATTAAACAGACACGGGCGATAAATGCACTTGCATAAACCGCGTAGCCGTGGATTAAACGGTGCACAAGGGTTGAAGTCGCAACTCTAGTGTAGCCTAACACTTCCGCGATTGTGTTTTCACATCATAAGGGTTTCCAACAACAATGTTGACTCAGCAGAAGTGTGCACAGCTACGACGAGTGACAGTGTGTTCAAAAAAGTACAGCTGACTGATCAATAATCCGCAGATAAATTGATGTTTATAAGTCTATCTGGAGCGATAAAAGGAGGCGGGGTGGCGCAGTTACTCATCCCCGCCGAGAGCGCTCCCTGCTCGGGCTTACAGCTCGCAAGTAACCGCCCCGCTTCCCGTGCGCTACTTCAAAGTAGTTATATAATTTTTAATCGAGATGACAAACAGCACATTTTGAACATCTCGCCCGGTCGACCGCAGACAGGTTGACATAATAATTAGTGCAACTGTCCCAGTACATATTTACAAATATTTTTTTTAAATAAACGTCACACTGTTCCTCCTGCGTCCTTTAGTTCCCAGCCATTTTTCCCTGATCGCAAGCAAATCCAAAAGACAGTTTTGTGCTGGTAAATTAGATGCACGGACTTACTGTAGGCTACGGTATAACGGGCAGGGAAGCGCGAGGCTCTCCGTGTTGCCAGGGCTCCGTGCGTTCTCGCGCACTGCCGGTGAAATCGTCTCCCCTCCGCTCGTACAGTGATGTCTGCTGCAGCCCGAGCTAATAACTCTATCGCTCCTTGCCCCCACCTCCTGTGAGTGAGTGAGTGTGTGACGGAAGGAGTGAGTGTGTGTGTGTGTGTGTGTGTGTGTGTGTGTGTGTGTGGAGGCGTGCGTAAGAGTGTGTGTGAAATGTGTAATCCAAATATGGAGCAGTTGGCCGGCCCAGTTAAAGAGAAGGGATTGGAGGTTGTTCCATTAAAAGTATAGAAAAACATAATGACGTTTGAGGCTCCATAAACAAATGGTGTGTTTTAAAGTTGAACATTACATGTCAGTTAGTTTCTCTAATCTGAAATACACAGCAGCGTTCAGGGAGTGCTGCTATTTAGTACAACATCACTGAGAAACTGCACAGTTTGTATCATTCGCTCAGAACAGGGAATGGAAATCCCGGAGTGGAGTTAGAGCCAAGTGATTATAGAACGCTATGAGCCATGGAGCTCTGTCACTCCGCTCCACTCATTCAATGCTCCAGACGGGGGTTTACCCTGCGCATTAACGTGGAAAGATAGACGCTGTGGATTCTTTTGTACGGTGACGCATTGATGCCACACACATATTTTTTTTTCCACTCAGTTATGTCGTAATAACGAGATGTTATGTCGTTTTAACGACATCTTTTCTCGTTAAAACGACATCTTTTCTCGTAATAACGAGATGTTTTCTCGTTAAAACGACATCTGGTCTCGTTAAAACGACATCTTTTCTCGTAATAACGACATATTTTGTCATAAAAACGACATGTGTTATATTATATTATACGTATAATATTATACTTTACATAATAATATGGCCTATAATACTTTATATAAAAATATATAGTATATAATAGAGACGTTATTTCCGGGTCCCTTTAAATGACTTTGTTCAGTCATTTAATTTAGATGTGTATTTCAATTTTTTCTGCCCTTTTTAATTATTTCATTTATAAATGTATAAAAAACGAGTAATAAAGTTTACAATAAAGTACAATCAAAACTTTATATATATTCACATTGCACTTGAATAAAGGTAAAGGTGTAATTTGCCGAATGTCCTGCAGGTGACCGCATAAATCTGGGCTGCGTTTCCCGATAACGTTATCTCTTAGCTCGCTACGAAGACTCTAAAGGTATATCTTAACTAAAGGTATACCTGTTCTAGGCGTGTTCCCCGAACTATACCTTAGGATGTTGCTTAAGGTAAACCTTCTTACATGCGACGTTAGCAGGTACTGTCCATGGCGGTGGTGCTGAATAGGTTGATATCGATGGCTCGAGAATCGATTGTTCAATACAGGAGCTCTTTCACTGCGTTATAGAGCAGGTAAAGTGATGTTCATTATAAAGAAACACTTTAGAAATATTAGAAATTGCATTTATCGGGGCTCACTGCATTTATAAAATAATCCAAATTTCAAACTAAGTGCAACCTTGGATATCACACACACACACACACACACACACACACACACACATATACAGTATATATGTGTGTGTGTGTGTGTGTTTATGTATATGTATAATTTAGCAAGTGTGCAAACCTGCAACCTCATGGCCAAAAGTATTCTGCCTTAGCCAGCTACATTAACTGGCTTTTAGGCTTCGCTTGCTTTTGAAAGAGTCATTTATATTATCATGTTCATATATATTATGAAGGCCTGGTCGAGCGCTGATGGGTTGGCGATGGGGATAACACGAATTAAATAAACACAAATTTGTTTTCGATTGTTTTATTTAAGTAGACCTTTAGACATAACAAGGTGCGCCAGAAAGCGCTCCCTGTTATTTTACAAAAGCAATTTGTAACGTTTTGTTGTTATTGTGGAAGTATAGAAAATAAAGCAGACAATTCTTTCCTCTGTTATCACAGTGTAGCCTAAGGGATCTAAGGGCGCCGGTGCCGCCGAACCGAGAAGAGCAGTGTTGTGCTTCATATGAGATGTATATTTGCAAGAAATATAGCCTATACAACAGCCAGACAGTTTGAAGAAACGTTATTGTGATAATTTGCAGAGCGGTGCATGAGATGAACTCTTATTCTGTATGATGGGATAGGCAGTAAAGACAGGCTGAGAGAAAAAGTGGCGTTTATAGGGCCACCCACGCACAAATAGTAAACTAATTTTTTAACCCACGAACAAAAATTATATCGTTTTTACGAGAAAACATCTCGTTTTAACGAGAAAAGATGTCGTTTTAACGAGAAAATATGTCATTTTAAGAGAAAACATCTCGTTATTACGAGAAAAGATGTAGTTTTAACGAGAAAAGATGTCGTTATAACGAGAAAAGATGTCGTTTTAACGAGAAAACATCTCGTTATTACGAGAAAAGATGTAGTTTTAACGAGAAAAGATGTCGTTATAACGAGAAAAGATGTCGTTTTAACGAGAAAACATCTCGTTATTACGAGAAAATATGTCGTTTTAAGGAGAAAGGATGTCGTTTTAACGAGAAAACATTTCGTTATTACGAGAAAAGATGTTGTTTTAACGAGAAAAGATGTCGTTATAACGAGAAAAGATGTCGTTTTAACAGAAAATATGTCATTTTAACGAGAAAACATCTCGTTATTACGAGAAAATATGTAATTTTAACGAGAAAACATCTCGTTATTACGAGAAAATACGTCGTTTTAACGAGAAAAGATGTCGTTATAACGAGAAAAGATGTCGTTATAACGAGAAAAGATGTCGTTTTAATGAGAAAAGATTTCGTTTTAACGAGAAAACATCTCGTTATTACGAGAAAATATGTCGTTTTAACGAGAAAACATCTGGTTTTAACGAGAAATATGTCGTTTTAACGAGAAAAGATGTCGTTATAACGAGAAAATATGTCGTTTTAACGAGAAAAGATGTCGTTATAACGATAAAAGATGTCATTAAAACGATATAACTGAGTGGAAAAAATATATATTTGTGGCATCAATGCGTCACCGTACTTTTGGAACTCTGCCAGCGATATTTATTAAAAAGAAATGTATGAACTAGACAAATACAAGTAGCTCAATATGAATTTCTTGCTTATATAAATGTTTTATGAAAGCAATATCACATCACCAAAAAAATATCACAAATATCAGCACGCCTGTGGTTATCTGCGGCCTTGCATTATTATATACATATCTGAATTATCCACCATTTTTTTCCTCAAACCAGCCCGTAGCCGAATTGGTCATTGGTCAAATCATTCAGTCGCCTGTCAAGAAAAGTTCAAGGATTTAGTTCAGTGTTATAAAATATCATATACTTGTCCGATTACAACAAATAGTAATAGGCTACTATTAGTATCTGCTAACAAAGCCATTAAGGTTAGGGTTTGTCCTACTATTTGTTTTAAACTTGTGATTGACCAGTGAAATCTTTCGCCTGGATTGGTTTGGAGGGGAAAAAATGTGTATCACTTTATTTCACTGTGCGAGACTACTGATTCATTAGCTGTTATAGGTAAATACCTAGAAGAAAAACAAAGTGCAGTAAATGTTAAAACTATTACCAATGTGTATAACCAATTTGTTTATGATGATAATAAAATAAAAGCAAGAATGGCCTATAGATACAGGAATCGTCCGTTGTGATTAGCCAAGAGTAAGAGGCAGTTTGCTGGCTCTGACAGTAGGTTTGAGTTCAGTGCCCACAGTTACTCATGTAAATAGCCTTATGAAACTAATTTTCTGTTCTAGTTGCTATGAGTAGAAAACACAATACATGGAGTGAGATATGCATGATTATTGTTCATTTTGCTAAGACATACCTGGGTAAGTTTAAATGACAATGACAGTCTATATATTTTCTTTAAGGAATACTCTTGCTATTATGGGGGGAATAGAATTAGACGAAATGTTAAACGCATGCACTCACATACACAGACACATTGTGGTCAGCGTTTGGGAAGGGACTTTCCACAAGAGTTTGTGGCTATGTTTCTATGGAGACTATAACATACCCTTCCTCCACCCTGGAATACATCAGCATATCTGGCCTATTATTTAAGAGTCTCAGTGCAAAGCATTTGGTCAAGAAGTTTTACATGACTTACAATTACCTGTAAATACAACATTGTCAAAATGACCAGACCTTTAAGAATTATAACAGTGCGCAGTGTTAAGTGTTTTTCCTAAAAATGTTTATAAAAAGAGTGGGAGAGACACCACAGACTTATCAGTCATACTTTTTCGCTTGTCATAAAAATAGCCGTGGATGATGGCATGACATTAAAATGTACAAACATATTTTTTTGATTATGGAGGACATGATCAATTGTATTTGAAAATGCTTCAATTGAAATAACACATGCAGAGCTTTACCTTCTTCAGTGTTATTTTAGTATTATTTATGTACTATTCTAGTATTTGACATTTAATACATTATACAGACACACACACATAAATGTATATAATATAACATTTTGAATTATCTTTTATTTTAATATTTTCCGTTTTTATTTTAATTTAAGTTTAAGTTTTAGTAATATTGTTACGCATTTTACTTGTATTTCTTTTTAGTTTCAATTTATTTTATTTCAGTTTTAGCTATTTTAATACTTATTTTTATTTTGTTTTTTTTGGGAATATTTCTCATTTTTATTTCAAGTTTTATGTTTAATCTATTTATGTTTTATTTTATTTCAGCATTATTTGTTTATATTGTTAATAGTTTCTGTTTTACTTAACAAAAACAACATTGTGTTTAGTCACCCTCATGAACAAACACTTTCTTCCATGGAACACAAAGGTGAATTTCTGAAGAATATTATGAAAGTGAAGGAGAACTGTATTCATAACTGTGTCTCAAAATGACGAAAAGCAGCATTACTAAAGTACTGTTATTGGTACATGCGACTCAAGCACTGCATTCCAAATTTAAGTTTGAAATTTAAGTTGAAATTTAAACTGAAGAGCTGAAATCGACTATCACAAAATCACAATGCATTCCTGTGCATCTTGTGACACAAATATTCTTCGGAAGACTAGGAATATAGTGTGTGTGTGTGTGAGTCATATGAATGACTTTTATGGTGCTTTCTTGTCATTGTGGAGCTT